TCTGAGCATATGTTTTTGGCCCCTTTGTCAAAGATCAGATGATTGCCCGTTTCTAGAGTTGTTTCTACGTCCTCTATTCTGTTCCACTGATCATCATGTCTGTTTTTGTCCCAATACTGTACTGTTTTTATTACTAATTTTGTAATACAGTTAAAATCTTGGATTGTGATTCTTCCTTACATACTCTTGTTGCCCAGGATTACTTTTGCTATTCTGGATTTTTCTGGTTCCATACAAATTTTAGGATTGGTTTTTCTAGTTCTGTGAGGAATGCTGTTGGCATTTTATTTGGGATTGCAATAAACCTATTAATTTTGAAATTATGGCCATTTTGACTGTATTGGTTCTGCCTATCCAGGAACAGGGATACCTTTCCATTTTCTGATGACCTCTTCAGTCTCCTTTTTTCATTACTGCATATTCAGTACTATAGTTTTCATTAAGAGGTCTTTCACTTCATTAGAATAATTCCTAAGTGTTTGATTTTGAGGCTACTGTGGGCAGTACTTTTATTAATGGTGTACAGAAACATTTATTAGTTCTGGGAGTCCCCTGTGGAGTTTTTTGGGTCTTCTATGTAAAGGATCATATTATCTGTATATAAAGATAGTTTAATTTTTTTCCTTTCTTATACATCCCTCTTTCTTTTTTAATTGCTCTTGCTAAAGTTTCAAGTACTATATTGAAAAAGTGGTGATAATGGACATTCTTTTCTTGTTTCTGATTAGAGGAAAAGCTTTCAGTTTTTGCCCATTTAATACATTGGCAGTAACTTTGCCATAAGTAGTTTTTATCAGATTGAGATAAGGCCCTTCTATACCTATTTTCTTTAGAGTTTTGATCATGAATGTATGTCAGATATTGTCAGAGGCTTTTTCTGGGTCTATTGAGATGATTACGTTATTTTTTTTCCTTGCTTTAGTTTATGTGATGTATTACATTTATTGATTTGTATATGTTGAACCATCCTTGCATCCCTTGGATGAAGCCTACTTGGTCATAATGTGTGATCTTTTTTGATGATTTATTACATTTTGTTTGCCAGTATCTTGTTGGGAATTTTTATATCTATGCTTTTGTTTGTTTGATTTCTGTTACTGGGGATTGAACTCAAGGCCTTGCACTTGGGAGGCAGGCACAGGTGCTACTGAGCTAAATCCCTGGCCCTGTATCTATGTTTAGTAAAGAGATTGGCCTGTATAGTAGCTTCCCTTTTTTGTTTTTTTTATGGATGGATCCTTATCTGGTTTTGGGATCAGGGTAATACTACCTTCCAAGGTAATGCTGCCATGCCTACCTATCTTTTTGATTTTGAGAAATCTATGAATAATTGGTCATGTCCCTCAGCCCTGTGTTTTAGTTCTGACGCTCTGTTCTCACATTGTGAGGCTGAGCAAATGACAGAAAGACAAGCACAGCAGCAGATACAGCACCCCAGTGGCATGCTGCATGGTCCACTCAATCCCTGAGGCTATTCTTCCAGAGTCCTGCCTGAGCCTGACAGGGGTGGGTGGGCAGCAGACTGTCAGGAGGAACCCATAATAAACAATCCAGAACCGTTGTTTTTTTTTTTTTTTTTTTTTTCCAAAACAGTGTCTCACTATGCAGCTCAGGCTGGCCTTGAACTTACTGTGTACGTACAGTTTATCCTGCCTCAGCCTTCCAAGTGCTGGGATTCCAGGTGTGCACCACCATGCCTGGCTTGCTCCCCATATTTTGAATAGAATATTTTGTCTTCTGGGTTTCTGTTTGGTACCTTTTCGTAGACTCTTAATTCTTTGCTAAACTGTCATTCATATTTTATATCACTTTGTTTAGCTCAGCAAACTTTATATTAGTCACTGTAATCTCACTGATAATTTTTTTATTGAGGCAGTCACTGTTTAGTTATATAATCTTTGAGGTTGTTCAGCACCTTATTGATCTCTTTTTTTATCTCTTCTTTTATCATTTCATATAATTCAATTGTTTTGCTTTTGATTTCCTTTCCATCTGTCCCCCATGGATCGGCTTTGGGGCAGTTGGAGATACTTTGTTGCCTTATTCCCTCTCTTCCTTCCTCCCTCCCTTCCCTCCCTTCCTTCCTCTCTTCCTTCGTGCTGAGGGTTGTGGGTCAGTTATAACAGAAATCTTTTGTTGCTAGTATAGTGATCTCTGTATCTCAGTCCTCTTTAGTTAGTGTCTGCTTTTCAGTGAAGTACTCTGGGTGTGGCTAACTGTATTGTATGCCTTTGTCTGTGTCCCAAGATCTAACCAGCACCATTAATTTGGGGAGGAGGGTGCAGTGTAATTGGACCAGCACCCAGTTCTCTAGATATTGACTGCAGTATTGTTGATGACACATAAACAAACCACGTATTGGTATACAGTAAAACAATTAATAGAAACAACTGTGCCATTCCAGCAACAACAACGAAATCAGCAACAATGATAAAGTCAAAGGTAAGCTGGATATTGACATATTATAAGAACCAATGCAAACTACCACTGAGCAGCCTTAATAGTAAAAGAGATATCTATAAGTACAATATAGACACAACAAGCCAAATATTGTCCTACCTTAAATATTTACTGGATACAACAACTACACCACTAATGACAATAGAAAAGAATTCAAGAATAATAGCATACAGTCAACTTAATATCTAAAGATTAAAAAAGCTGAATAGTACTAGTCAAGATGGATGGGGCAGTGAATGGGAAGATTGAAATAAAATTTGAAAAATAAAAGGAAGATGTGAAGGAGAGAAAAGTGAACTAAATGATTTTATTAAAAATATTTTATTGGGCCCAGGGATTTAGCTCAGTGGTTCTGCTACCTGCCTCGCAAGCACAAAGACCTAAGTTTGATCTCCGGTACCAAAAAAAAATTTTTTTTATTAAAAAAAAGAAGTAAATCATAGTAACGGAAAATAACAAACTAGGAAAAGAAGAAAAAAGAAAAAAATGCAGAACAAAATAAAGGAAGGAGAATAAAAGAAAAAATTCCAAACCCCAAAAAGTAATGAGTAAAAAGAAAAATGAGTGTTTTTGAATGAATGGTTTCTTTCTAGGATCTGCACTTATTGGAATCTACCAGATCTGAGGGAGGACTAGTGAGTCACTACTCAGACCTATTTTGTTTGCACACTCAACATTTTTTTGTGTGACTGCTGAATCCTGCTCTGCCTTTCCTGCTGGATGCGGTTGTCAGCAGTGTTTGTGGTTAGGCTGTATTCACTCCAGCAGCTCCTGCTTTTCATGTCCCTCTGTGTATCCCATGGCATAGCTTTCTTTGCCTAGCTGTGGGCCTGTGGGTTTGTGAGCCCCTCCGTGCCCATCACTTGCTCCAGAGGCCCCTCTGTCCATACACCCCAGGCTGTGGCAACCATTCAAGCTGATGTGTATCCCTGATCACGTGGTAGATGAGGAAAGAAAACAGACCACTGAGCTTTCTGTTGGTGTAGTCTGCCAGGTGTTGGGCCCACAGTCTGCTGGACTTAATGTCCACACTGTCAGACTCAACCCCCTCCAAAAGCCACCTACATCTAGCCTGGCTTCTCAACTTAGAGGGCAGGACCCCCCATCTTTCTGGCCTGAGCTTAAACTTCTCAGTAAATCTGTGTCTAGCCTATACCCTCTATGCCTCTTGACTTGAGCCCATGCTGTGGCTATGATTTGTGCCAGAATGTTCTGACATGTCCTCTCTCTCTCTCTCCCTACTCCTGTGGATTTTTGTTTTTTTACAGGGCTGGTGATGGAACCTATGACCTCTGCCCTGAGTTAACTTACTGGCTCTTTAGTTTTTTAAAGTTTTGGACAGGGTTTTACTAAGTTGCTAAATTGTTCTGGCTAGGCTCAAATATGTGATCTTTATGCCTCATAGCTTTCTAGAGTGCTGGAATTAAAGGCATTTGCCATCATGCCTGATTTCCTTCTTGTAGGCCTTGATCTTTAGAAGAGGTGCCAGTGAATGGTGAAATTGGTCTAAACCCATGGTGTTGGGGAGGGTACAGGGTGAGAGGGAGCCTCCGCATTCTATAGCATGCTTGTTCTGTAAACCCGAGATTGGGGAAAGGTCACTACTCCCCCTAATCAGCCTCCAGTGGGCACCTGCCCTGTGAGTAGACCAACATCTGGTAGCAGAGGTCACCTAGTAGTTAGGTTTTTTGCTTTTTACTGGTGACATTTATACTTTAAGGTGGAATCCACCATCCTAGGCCAGGGACACACAGCCTGTGATCCCATTTCTGTTTTAGTTACTTCCATCCTGAACTGCAGGACGATTCTACAGAAGTTGGCCCTGGAGGTGCTCTGGCCATGGAGGGCCTTTGGCTGCCGTCCTGGAGTAGCACATAGGAGGGAGGTTGAACTGTGACTTGTTATTTCAGGTATCCTGGGTTGCCCTTTGGATATGCCTGCTCTGGCAGGCTGAGCGTCCGTGTTGTGCTGTCTCTGCTGCATATTTGTCAAATTCACATGTTGAACCAGCTGCCTTTTTGCAGTGGACATGTTGCCCTGTGTGCTTTGAAATCTCTTTATCAGCAGCCTGTAGAAGTGTTTTAGCTCTGTGCCAGCTATATTGAGTCACAGCTGGCTTTCATACTGCTGTGCTGCATACAAGAGAAGTGGGGTCAATCATAATGCTGTCTGTTACCAGAGCAGACACTTTATGCTGTCTTGACCTTATTTTTTTAATTAAAAAATTTTAAATTATTATTTTTTTTAAATTTTATTTTATTTTGCCTTTAGAAATGAAGTAAACATGTGATTTTTAATGGTTTTGTTCCAACATTTCCTTCCCTTTACCTTATGCACTTTCTTAAGATAGTAGTAGAAGTAGATTTGGAGAATAGTTCAGAAAGTGCTTCTTCTAATGCATATACATGAAAATCTTGTGGTCTTTCTGTTCCAACATTTTTTAAAAAAAGAAATGCAAAAAGGGCTGGGAAACAGTGGCTTACCAGTGTTAAAACCAGTCTGGTTTTGTCTTTCTTTGTTTTCTCTTTTTTAAAATGTAGCTGCAGACAGTAAGGATGAAGAACTCAAAGTCCCCCCAAGGCGGTCCTATGTGGGTATGTACCATGCTGCATGAGGCTGCCATTAAGACATTTGTTGCATCTCACTCTGCAGCTCTGTCCCCTGCTGTCCCACCCTCATCTGCGCTTGCCTTTAACTGTGCACATGAGTGGTTTTACCAAGCATGGCCGTGTCTACAGCATACTCACCACAATGCTGCTTCTTTTAAGCATGAAATAGTTCTTAGAAGCCTGTTTCCTGAACGTGTGTGTGTGTGTTTGTGTGTAGGGGGTGGGAAGGAAGGAGAAAATCTAGATTACAAATTTTAGATTTCCTTAGTTACCTTTATTCCACACTAATTGTTTTTGATACTGTTGTAAATAGAATTGTCTCCTATTTGCATCTTGAATTTTTCATTGCTAGTTTGTAGAAATAAAGTTGATTCTTATATGTCGTATTTGTATCATACAATTTTGTTGAACTGTCTTAACTAGATTTCTGTTTATGATCATGTCATTTGCATGCAAGTAGAGACAGTTTTACTTCTTCCTTTCTAATCTGCTACTTTTCAAAAAATTGAGTTTATTGTTACATTTTAGGTATACAGTACAGTTACATTCATTATTGGGAACTTGTGCCTTTACATGACAGGTCTTGGTTCTGTTTTTTTCCCCTTGTCCCTGCCCTCTCTTCATCCCCTCCTCCCCTCCCCATTTACAAACACTTTATTTCCATTTTTTCATTTTCTCATATTTTTTCTTTTCCCTTATTATAATCTGCTACTTTTTATTATCTCTTGCCTAATTATCCTGGCTACATGTGGTTTTTTTTGTATGTTTTTTGTTGTTGTTGCTTTTTTGAGACAGGGTCTTCCAATATAGTTCAGGTTGGTCTTGAACTCAGTATGCAGTCCAGGTTGGCCTTGAACTTGCACTGATCCTCTTGCCTCAGCCTCTCGAGTATGTCGTCTTTCGATGTTGTGAGAAGCCCTTTGGTATTTCACCATTAAGCATGATGTCAGAAACATGGATTTTTTACACTTGTCTTTTTTAATAGCTGAAGGGAGTTTTCTACTATTCTGAGTTTACAGTTTTGGTTATGTTTGATCATGAACTAATGTTGGAGTTTGCCGGGTGCATTGCTACGTCTGTGGAGATGATCATGTGGTTTTGTCTTTTATTCTCTTGTTATAGTACATTACATTGTTTGATTTTTATGTGTTGGATTAACCCTTCATTCTCACGTTGAATCTCATTTGATCATAGTACATAATACTTTTTATAACTGGATGATGTTTGCTAATATTACTGGGGCCTTTTGGACCCTGTTCATAAAAGATATTGGCCTATAGTTTCCTGTAATACTGGTCTCATAAAATAAATTGGGAGCTAGGTGTATACCTATAATCCCAGTATTCTGGGAGGCTGATTCAGGAGATTTGCAAGTCTGAGCTGTGCCTTGGCAACGTAGTTGTTTAGGGAGAACCTGTTCCAAAATTAAAACTTTGTTAAAAAAGGGCTTGGGCTATAGCCCAATGGAAAGGCCGTGGGTTCAATCACCAATGCTACAAAATGAATGAATGATATTTGGAAGTAGTCCCTCCTCTTCACTTTTTAAAGAGTGTGAAGGATTAGTATCAGTTTCTCTGATTATTTGGTACAGTTACTCAATGAAGCTATCTGGTCTGGGCTTTTCTTTGTGGGAAGTTTTAAAATTACTCAGTCTCTTGTTAGAAGTGTGTTTAGCTTTTCTGTTTCTTCTTAAGTTTTGGTTTGTCTGCTGGAGTTTATTCCTCTCATTGAAGTTGTTGGCACAGTTTTTCTTACCACTCTCTTATAATCATTTTTATTTCTGTGAGGTCACTAATAGCCGTCCCTCTTTTATTCTTGATGTGGATATTTGAGTCCCTTTCTTCTTTTTTTTTTTTAATCACTGTTTAAAGATTTTTTAATTTTACTGATCTTTTCTAAAAACTAGCTGTTGGTTTGGTTGATATTTTTCTATTGTTTTTGTATTTTCTAGTTTGTTTAATTCCACTGCAATGTTATTTCTTTTCTGTTGCTTGCTTTGAGATTAGTTTGCTTTTTTTCTAGTTTAGGGTGAAGGGTTAAATTTAGCTTTTTTTCTTTCTTTGAAATATAGCCACAGTTTACCTCTTATCAGTGTTGGAGCTACATCCTATGATTTTTTTTTTTTTTTTTTTTTTTTTTTGTACCCGAGCTTGAATTTAGGACCTTGTGCTTGCAAGGGAGGTGTGGTGCCACTGAGCTAAATCCCAGCCCCTGGTGTGTTGTGTTTTGTTTTCATTTATTGGAAATTATTTTCTCATTTCCTTCATGAAGTCTTTTGCCTGTTTATTATTTAGGAGTGCACTGTGATTTCTACATATTTGTGTGAATTCCCCAAATTTTTTTTTTTTGTACCCGGGAGCGAACTTGGGACCTTGCACTTGCAAGGCAGGCAGTGGAACTACTGAGCTAAATCCCTGGTCCTCTCTCATTGATTTCTGATTTCCATTGGAATCATAGACCATACTTTGATTTCAATACTTTTAAATTGGGGCTAGTTTTGAGGCCTAACTTGTGGTCTGTCATAGACAACAGTCATGTTTACATGAGATGAGTGTGTTTTCTTGTTGGGTAGGTGAGAGCTATCTGTTAGGGCTAGTGGTTTATAGTATTGCTTAGGTCTTTGCTTCCCTAATCATTCGTTGTGTAATTGTTACATTCATTACAGAAGTTGGTTTTGAAGTCTCCAACTGTTTTTGAATTTTCTTTATCACTTTCCATTTCTGTCAAGTTTTTGCTTTGTATATTTTGGGGCACATTCTTAAGTGTGTGTGCCTTTGGAGCACATTGTTAAGTGGGAGTATCTTCCTGATAGATTAACCCTTTTGTCTTAATTTTTTGTTTGTTTTCTGGTACCGGAGATCGAACTTGGGTCCTTGCACTTGCAAAGCAGCCACCGGAACCACTGAGCTAAATCCCTGGCAACCCTTTTGTCTTTATGAAGTATCCATGTTTATCTCTACTGGTACTTCTGGTTTTAAAGCTTACTCTGATATTAGTATGGCATCTGTGGATATCCTGTGGTTGCTGTTTGACTAGTGTATCTTTTTCTGTTCTTATAATTTTTATCTATCCCTGACTTTAAAGTGTATATTCTGTGTACAACATATATGGGAGGAGTCTTTAAATTTTTTATTCTGGCAGTCCTGCTTTTTATCTCATTGTTTGATTCACATTGAATGTTTGATGTGTTCAGACTTATATCTGTGTCTTACTTTTCATTTCCTGTATTCCCATGTTTTTTCCCTGACATTTGTTCCTTTACAGATTTTTATTATGTTGTAAGTTCTTAGTCATTGCTTAAGGCTTACAATGTGTGTTTTGTTTTGTGTTTGGTCCTGAAGATTGAACCAAGGGCCTTGTATGGAGCTAATCTTCAGCCCTTTTTATTTTTTGTTTTGAGACACAGACTTACTATTTAACAGGCTGGCCTCAAACTTGAGATCTTTCTGCTTAGTCTCCTGAGTAGCTGGGGTCACAGGCATGAACAGGCATATGTTGCTGTACAGTAAAGGTTTTAACTTAACAGAAGGAACTTCAAATTTATATTAGTTTAATTTTTGTGAGCTAAGAAACTTCACCCCCACATATTTCTGTTCCTTTCTCCTTTGTAGATGGCATGATTGTATGTGTGTGTATGTTTGTGTTATAGGAATTGTACTTATTTGTACTGAGCTGCATCCCAGCTCCCTTTTTAAAATTTATTTTGTATTTACAGACCGAGTCTTGCTTAATTAATTGCCTTGGCTGGACTGAAACTTGCCCTTGTCCTGCCCTAGCCTCCCAGAGTGCTGGGATTACGGACATGTACCATTACTCAGGCTTGGTAGCATGATTTTTATACATATTGGGTCTCTATATCTCACAGATCTAATAATGTATTTTTATAATTATTACTTTGTATAGATTTATGTCTTTTGAGCAGAGGGAAAAAGGGAGAACAAATGTTTGTCTAATACAGCATTATAGTATTAACCTTATTTATCCTTTCTGGCTCTTATTTCTTTCTGTGAGTTTGATTTACCAACTGTAGTCATCTCTTTCCTCTAAAAATTTTATTCTGGCAATCCGAGCTTCAGTTCTATCACCCCAGTTTTATTTGTGTTGTTATTGTCAAATGTATTACATGTCTTATGATAAAGGCTTCCAAGTAACATTGCACATGTTTCCCGCAGTTGCATTTTAAGCCATTTGAGAGGGGAAAGAAGAAATGTGCATTTGTGTTCCTTTGTAATAGCTTTGTAATAGCTGACATTCAGTAATTACCTTTATGTACTTGCTGTGTTTTCTCATGTGCATTTGAATCACCTCTGATATCACTTGCTTTCACCAGGAGAGCTTGCTTACTATCATGTTTCCTGTTGGGTGGCTCTGCCAGCAACAGATTCTCCCAGTTCTTGTTTACCTGGAAATGTTTTTATTTTGCCCTTATTTAAAAAGAAAACTTTTGCCTTAAGAAACTCGGTTAATGGTTCTTTTTCTTTTCAGCCCTTTGACTGTTGTCCCACTGCCTTCTGGACTCCATTGTTTCTGATGAGAAGTCAGCCGTTAATCTTATTGGGGTTTCTTGTAAGTGACAAATCATTTTTTTTCTTGTTGCTTTTGAGAGTTTAGTCTTTTTCTTTGGCATTCAGCATTTAGATTAGAAGGTGTCAAGGTGTGGATGTCTTTGTATTGAACAAGGAGTTAATTGAGCTTCTTGAGTGTTAGGTTAAAATTGCCTCTTTGGAAGTTTTCAGCCACAATCTAAGTATCTTTCCTGCTCTTTCCTCTATTTCTGCTTTCCTTTAGTATACCCACTGTACATGTGTGGGTGCACTGAATTTTGTCTCAGTTCACAAAGTTTCTTCCCTTTTCTTCTGTTTTCTCTTTGCTTTTGAAGTTGAATACTCTTATTAACATCTCTCTGAGCAGACTGCATCTGCTCAGCTCTGTTGTTGAGCTTTGACGGTGAATCTTCTGTCTCAGTTGTACTTTTAACGCTAGAA